GGTGTTTATAATGGACAGTCCGCTGCTTGCCCAAAATCGTAGCAGCTTCATACCATTATTGTTGAGGTTGTTGGAGCCGTTCTTTTCAGTTGCGCCATTCCACTTCGCTATGTCTATTCCGACAAGCGCAGTGGAATCGTTGATTCGAATAAGGGTCTCCGTAGTTGACACTTTCTACAGAACACTCCACATCTTTAAGGATAGAGCCATACTCGCCCTCAAAATTGGGCACATAGACTTGTAACAAGAAGAATGATTTAGCGTATTTTAGCTTGGCAGAATGAGCTGACTTGTTAGAACAACAGAGACAAAAGTTTCTGGAGGCAGAATTATGCGGCGAAGGCACAGAAAAGTTCTTCTAACTGTTGATCGATGAGGGCTGGTGATGATGATTTACAAATTTAATGGGTACGGCCAGTTAGGTGTGGCATCATATTATTGCTACGTCTCATTTACTATTGCTATTTTCTCCATAAATTTCTCCAATACGAAAATTTATTATCTTAGAGAAGCCCGTGATGCGCTTCTATCGATGCATCTTCTGAATTAACTACTTTCAGCGTTGTGCAGTAAAATAGGTTAGTTTTTGAATTAGTTTTCAACTGTACTTGATGTATATATTTCAAAAATATGAAACCTTTGCTAAATAGCATATTTTAAACAATTCTCTGGCGCATTTGAATTTGAACAGGCTATCTGAGATTAGGATCAGGAATATTTAAAGAAATGTGAACCCATTTTACTGAAAATTAGTTGCTGAATGCTCACAGAAGGATATTCACAATTTTCGATTTTATATAATTACGAGGTTTAATTACAGATATATATTTAAAGGAAAACTTTCTTTCCGGAGTCCAAGGCAGGGCTAAGAAAGTGCGACTAAGCGCGCTTGAGGCATTGGTTTAAATTTAAATTTCATGAACAATGAACTGAATTAAGTATGCTCTTTGGAAAACCAGGCCTCTCTTCATTCTTCAGAAAGGAACTAACGCTTGCTGTTCATGAAACGGTAACATACAGATGTGTCGACTTTGCTGTTGTTGGGCATTTAGCTTAAAGGTAACACAATAGCCTGCTCTTGAAATAGGTCTGTGCTAAAACAAAACGTCCGGAAACATATACTAAAATTAACGCGCGGCTGTATTTCACAGTAATATAACAGACCGGACATGTGAACAATGAATACTCTCCATTGTCAATTAATTTTAACGAATCTCTGCTTGATGAGTTTGTTATAGTATTGCCCTGCAACTTTACGAGGCTCTAAAAAACGTTATCAGTGATGAAGAAACGCTGTCCGATGACTTTTAAGCAAGGAATTAACCGAATCAGCAGTTTAGGTTATATTAAGTACCGGTATTTATATGATTTAGTAACTTTAACTTACTCTTCCTATTGTGTGCAATGTTTAGTCTTCAATAAAACATTCAATCAAGGAAAATTACATAACAACCAAGTGTACGCATCTATCAGTCGTTTTCATTTTACGATTTGTAGCTTGAAAATCATTTTAAATTTTTTTACTGTAGAATTACTAAATATTGTTCATTATTATAACGGCGGGATTTCTCGCCTGTGATATCTGTTATTGTTTGCGTATTTGTATATTTCGTGTTCTGTTTTTTTCTGTATAAATTCTCTGAAAATATGCAATATTTTATCAGCTGTTTGTAGGTTGTGTCTCATAAGTTGTACATGGCTCCGACTAGAGTTGCAGCATTCGTTTCAAAGGTGAGCTAAATACGTCGTTTTATCGTTCTAATTAGTGTTAAAGCGTCACTCAACTTTTCTTATTTGCCCTTATTTTTATATTGCTGTAAAAGCGGTTGCTTTACGGATACTCGTGTTTTCGGAATTTACATGACCGTTCTTCCTTCAATGGCACGAAAAGTGAATATAGTATGCCGTTATATTTTCTAATTTTGCGAGTTTTGCGTGACATCGGGATTCATTGGCTCATTGAAATGTCATATTTTTGTAAATGATGATAAGTGAGGACGAACGTTAAGCACGAATTTATGGCCGGGCGACCGAGTGTTCCAATCCTCGTGGTATCACACTATTGTCACCTCTGAGGAAACGTTTCTCCTGGATTATCCTGGAAATGTTGAAACACGCAGTTTTCGAGAGACATCACTCAAATATAGCAGATTTCCCGTTTGTCTACTAGTTTCCCTACCAAATTTTCACTCTCGTAATATCACTGAACAGTTTCGTCGAATTCGACTTGTCTTGGTTTCCCAGCTTCCTCGACTTCATGCCTGCATTTGCTTCAATACAGCATCCTACGATATGAAAATTTTGAAATTCCTTACGATATCTGAACACGTTTCCATTTTGGAAGAGATGTGTTCAGCAGCCATGTTTGCTGTGGAAGTCGATCCTCGAACCTGTCATCTCCAGCGATGGCACCACCCAGTCACAGTTAAGCGAGAGGACTGCATTAGCCTCGGATGCTTTTGGTAATCTGTTTAGTATTTTCACCAAGAAAGGAATACTTCTACAAAAGTTTGCGGTACCTTTTTTCGGTTGAGTCATTGTTCTTGTACGGCACGGAGACAGTTATTTTGACGACGGTTGAACTGCGGACGACGGCATTAGCCTTCGTGAACAATAAGAGTTAAATGGCAGGATGACCTAAGGAATAACTCTATTCTGTTCGGAATACCGGTGAGTTCCGTAGATATGGTGATATAAGAAAATGAGGTTGGTTTTGTTAGACAAACTGATAGGGCATAAACCATTTACTCCAATCTCTGAGCTTCTCGCATAAGAGCCTAAACAGCAACGTCGATTACGGAAACCAGCATGCAGAATGGAGGAACAAGGTTGAGACGGATCACCTTTAAGCGAAACGAAATGCTCCTCTCAAATCTGCCAATGCCTGCGCATAAGGCCTAGCCTTTTGTTTAAAATATACCTGACCTGTAGCTTAAGCTGAAACCTTACCTTAAGCGAAGCTGAAGAAAAAACGTTGGTCTGAGCTTAACTTCAGTTTAAGCCTGAGCTTAAATCTAAGTTTACGCCTCAGCTTATACCTAATTTGAAGCTTCTGCCCATACCTGAGTTGAACTTACGGCCTTAGCTTAAACGTGATCTTATTGCAAAGCTTAAGTTTAGGAGATAAAGTCAGGCTTAAACTTAGGGATGAGCTCAAGCTTAAATTTAAATTTAGATTGGCTTAAACTTAGGCTTTAGCTTGGTCTTGAACTCAGAATTTCACCCTGAGCTTAAACCTATGCCTAATAATGAGCTAAAGTATAAGTTTTGACGTAAACTTAAGACTACGATGCAGTAACCGGTGCAATATAGAAAACGTCTTTCAGTGCTACATTTGTAGCGGGTATCACAGATCAACGGCGTTCTGTTGATGTAAATGGTTCAAGCTGATGGCCTAAAACAGTGTTTTTAACCCGTTCCTGCATCACGGATGTGAGGTTACCTTACTTTTAATTTTATGTGGCGTTGGATTTTAGTGCTAAAGATTTAAAGACCTGAGCTTCAGTGACTACGGTGAATACTTTCCAGAACTTTTCCGATGGTGTTGCTGTTGTCTATTCTTTTATCTGTTTTAGGTTTCAAATCTGCTAGACGAAGAAACATGGGAAGCCGGTCAGCAGATTGCCGTATGCTGAAATTTAAACAGTTTTTCACTGTTATGGTAACGGTGGTTTTCAGGAGAGTTTTTCTATCGTAGTCTCGTACGAAACGTTGAAGTTTTCGGAAGAATTGCCTGCTTCTTTGTTGAACCGAACGAAACGACCTTTCAACACCCTGATACCTATATTCCTTAAAGTCTTGGTCAATATTCAAGCGAAGAATTATCAAGAAGCTTATGATTTGGAAGTGCAGATAGTTAAGTAAGGCATTGTCCATTTCTGCTGTTTCACGCTGGCCCATGACCCACTTAATTTTTCCAGCACATTCGTCAAAGAGATTTTGCAGAAATGGAAGGATGCGAACTTTTTCTTACCCATCTGTTACCGTCTATGTTCAGATCTAATTCTCTGTGCCAAATTGGTATGTACGATTCTCTGTCGTTGCATGGCGTAAATAGTTTTTAAACGTTTATTTTTTCCTAAAGCAGCCTTGATATGGTTAACGAACGTTTATGTTCGCAATTTCATCTCCGTCTTATGTTGTTGCTATCTTCATCTTCTAAAATTTGAACGGCGATACGACGAATGCTTTCTGTCTGACCTCTTGAGGTCATGTATCAGGATTGCATTATCCAGTGTTTGCTGCTGCGGCATATATCTCTCGTCGTGAAATTTCCGCCATGGCGAAATTTTTCGCAGTTTTATACTGTACTTCGACTGGTCGGCAGCTAGTGAACCATTTTCATAAAAAAAAAACTTTAAAACATTGCCATTCTCTTTTTGGGCCATATCATCTAACCAGGACAGATACCCGCTTGTGATTTTTTCTGACAACTTGCTCAGGGTTCTATTTTTCAGCACCTTCTCGTTTGTGATGACTCGGTTATGTGGTCGAAGTTTAATGTTGTTTGCAATGATCGTATGCTTGGGTGGAATGTACTGACCATTCCTTTTCCGTTACATTCTCGATGTTTTAGCGGTTTTGCTAAATCGTAGAAGAAGCGTTTCCTATCTGAACGCACACGTTCTTTTTTATAATTGACCCGTGTGTCGTAATGAACGACGTTTGTCGTATTTCGGTTCCTGCATAAAAGGCTTGTAAATTGGAGTGAACTTACTAATTTTTGAGACAGCGCTAGTCCCTTTTTCCTAATCTCTACATCGACGGAAGATACCTGAGCTTTCGCACTATGAAGATACATAGCAAAGAGTGCTTTTTGGAAGTTGTCGTTACGAAATTCAAGACTATTCAGGACCGTAGATTTTTCGAACCCAAGGAAAGACGAAAGAGCACAACGAACGAGGATGGTGATCTTCGAAATTCGCGTATGTGAATCCAATGCACTGATTCATTTTCAGATGTTTTGCCGCCATCGATATTCAAAACTGTTCCGTGGTACTTTTAAATGGTTCATCTCTTCTATCTCAAGTAATCCATAAAATTATCGAGCACACCGTCTAAAACGAAAAGCCTAGTGCTTTCTCGTTCTCCTGCCCGTTGATCTCTTCAGATTAACGGAGAGGCAATGGAGCAGGTGGAGAAGTTCAAGTTCCTCGGAATTGTATTTACTAGTGATGGAAAATTGGAGGAAAAGATCGACCGGCGAATTGGAGTAGCCAGTGTCGTTCTGCATGAATTAGCCCGACCCATTGTGACTAAAGCAGAGCTCAATCTGAAAACTAAGCTCTCAATATTCAAGTCGATCTT